AGCTTTTGATAAGTCGCCAGCTTTTTTATCACATTCATTTCAAGGTTGGAAAAGAAGAGGAAAGAGACAAGGAGCAACTAGGAGACTGCAAAATTGACCTAAAAGCTTGGAACAGTAAGACCATTAAGAAGGAGAGGCCATCATTAACACCTCTGGAGTGAAGAATAACAAGCCAATAAGTCAACTGACTGCCTAAGACACCTGAATAGTAATGTTACAGCTGCTGAATCTTGGTGCTAGAATCAAAGCTTCTATCCCAGGCAAAGAAATCAGCTTCCCCATTTAATTCATGCACCCCAATTTTGAGGGGCTGATTTTGGAGGGAAAGGTGTGTGTTGTGTGCAAGAAAACGTGATATTTTACCTAAATGAGCAGCTCCAACAGGGAGGGCTACACCAGGAGCAGCTCACAGTCTGGTGGTTAGGGCATCCTCCCGGGAGGTGGAGGGTTCAGCCCATCTCAGACTGAAGGTGCAGTGGATCCCGAGGTACTGAACGTGGGCCCTATTCCCTATGAGAGGGCTCTAACCACTGAGCTACCGGGAAACAGAAGGGCACCACTACCATCTTTGTGAATAGACTTTATCTCCCTTTTGTCTTTGTAACTGCCCCCAATGATTTTTTTTTATTGTGCCAAATGAACATTGTATGTGTAGGTGGGGAGTTAGCCAAGGGGGGGGAAAAAACGCCCCTGTAGTGTACGTAATAGCTTGTTTCTGAATTTTGTGTAATAAGAAAGCAACCAACTTAAATTTAGACCAGACATCAATCCATAACACACAATGAAGACATACTGCACCTTCAGCCTGTTAATAGTACCGTTGGCAACAGAAGGACTTTTCCTATGATTAAAGTTAAACACAAGCTAAGTGGTACCCTGGATTGGGGGTTATGTGAATACGTGTAAAGAAATGCCATCAAACTAGCAGGGCCATGATTTCTTGTTTTAGTGACACTATCTTGTAATCATTTGGCCTGCCATCCTTACTTATATAAATCCCTCATTTCAAGAAATTAGAAGCAGACAAAATTTACATTTTACAAAAATGTAAAGTGATGAAAAAATTGAGAAATTTTCAAACAAGAGAATTAAGGGCTCAGATTCCACTGAAATCCTTAGGAAAAACCTAGCTTAACAGAACAACAAAAGGTATGGCCATCTAGACGTATTTTTTATCATAAACATCAAATACAGAATAGATGTATTTAGTAGGTACCAAGAGGAGACAAGTGTTTATTTAGGCCAATTGTTAAAATGCACTAGACAGAGCACTTGTGCCAAACTATTGGGAAGACAATCCAACACCAGCTGAAAATAGAAGACAACAAGCAAAGGAAAACATAGGCGAGATGTCAAGCAATATTTCCTAACAGTTAAAATCTATTGGACTACGGAACAATCCCCCAAGGGAAATCATACAAGCCGTACTTCAGCACAAACCGGGTTCTCAAGACAAGTGAAGTATCTGACCATTGGCAGAAGCTGTACTAAATCAAATACAACTTCCCCATCTACGTGCGTGCGTGTGTGTGTTCTATACAAGCTACATTACATTATTTAAAAGATTACAGTTGCAAAGTCAAGATTGCACCTTAATTCTGCCCTTTGCATATATGCATTCGAATGATTTTTAATCACACATTATGTTTTTCTACACAATCCTGCCTCAGTCCGTGCAGACTATGGCCAGTAAATAAGGCTATTTGTAGAGTTCCCCACCTCATTCCCTGAAGAAATTACAACATCAGTAATGGAGGAGACAAAGTTTGCAAGGAGAGGATGGCTTTGTGGTTAAGGGGTTGCCACAAATTAAATGCAACTGGTGCAAATATCTGTGTGGAAACTCTTATATTATCTTAAACCTATGTCGATGCAATTTGTACCCATATATTACAAGCAATGTCAATCTAAGGCAAGCTTAATAGCTCCGATTATTGATTTGAATAGATCAATAGAAGCTCTGATCTCCATACCATTTGTGAATTGGTTTTTGCAGTATGAATCAATGCAGCTGCCTAACATGGCCGCAGTTAGTCCAGCTAAAGGATCTCATACCAGTAAAGCTTAATTTGTGGAAAACAGGATTAACGGTATTAGTGATTTTTGCTAACTAGTTTTTTTTAAACAACATAGTTACAAGCTCTAAAAGTGTCTATTTGCAGCACTGCACAAGCTTAGATTAAGGTCTGATTTTAAAACCACTTTTCGTTAAACAGTGCAATGTCGTGTTTAGACCGGGCCTAAGTGACTCGGCTGAGACCTGGGAGATATGGAGTCTATTCCTGGCTTTAGCATGAATCCCTTACTTGCATAAGAAAAATCAGAAAAGGGGCTAGATTGTTATGGCTGAATCCTATTTAATCTATTAGGGGTTTAATTGGATTTATGTGCCTATGTAGGATCCTTTTCCAATCTGATTAGGTCCCTGAAAAATAATTAATACAAATGGTAGAGGGAACTCCTCTTCCTGTTCCCTGCTCTTTGTGACTTTGCCCTTGACTTCACTGAGAATAAAATCGAGTTCTTAGATTTTTTGGCTGTATTCACTTGTTGTAACAGGACAGCTTCATGCCCTGGATGGCAGCTATTCGCTGGACAGCATTAGCTGCCGTGCTCTCCTGCTGGTGGCAGTAGCATGGCCACTCATCAGCTGCAGTAGCAGCTATTTCTGTGCCCCCTTCCCTCCCACAAAGGTGGCACCTGGGGCTGCTGCTCTGGTCACCACCTCTCAGGTGTGCTACTACTTATTGTCTCTCATCCTCTACTTTGAACATAGAATCATAGAAAATTAGGGTTGAAACTTCCCTTGCTGCAACTTAAGACTGTTGCTCCTTGTTCTGTCATCTGCCCCCACTGAGAACAGTCCAGCTCCATCCTCTTAGTAACCATCCTTCAGGTAGTTGAAGGCTGCTATCAAATCCCCCCTCAGTCTTCTCTTCTCCAAACTAAAAATGCATCCCTGGGGAAAGAACCAGCTTTTTATTATATGCATATATGGGACTGAGGCTTCTCATTACAATAAGAAATGCTACTACTACTAATCATACTAATCACATTAATCATAGTTCCTTACTGCAGCAACCTTGTCTCATTGTGTTTATAAGTACCAGCACTACGGTGCTGTAAAAGCAATTATTAGCAATAATTATGTGGAAATTCTTGCCCCTTGTGAGCAATTGCCAAACATCTAAATTAATTTAGCCCAGCTACTGCAGTGTCACTCAGTCATTCTTTGACATACTCTAGCCACTGCTTGTTTGGAACGAGCACAAGCTAAAGGTCTGCTCGGGAGTTTGGAGGCGCATATTTCGGGGCTAGCTCCTTAATCAGGTTCACAAACTCGGTTTTCTCTATGCAGGCCTTGCACATTTCTCCCCAGCTATCCAGGATCTTCCGGAGCTCTGCCACTCGCATTTTGGAGAGATCCACTGCTGTCAGGTCCAGTTTCTTTTCTGCAAAAGAAAAGAATGCGACATATAGTTCAGAGGGCACATAAAGCTGCACGTGGTCCTCAGCTCCTCTGTGCTGCCAAAGCAGAGAAAAAATAATCCAGTTAATACAGAGGCTGCAAAGGGATCTCATCACATGCAGGTGACAGCTGAGGGAGGGCCTGACAGGCTGCACGTCCCTCCGTGACACAGCATGATTGTATAAGCACAACAGTCATGCATGTAAGATTCAGGACCTCCTTGATTCTTCCAAAATAACTTGTAACCCAAAGTGCATTGAAGCAATACTGCAGTTCAGTCTATTGAGTCTGAATATAGTAGGCTCCATTCCCTCTTCAAGCCCTCATCCACTCCCCAGTTAGGGGACTCCACCTTCCTTTGCAGGTCTGTGTAGTTGTTTCCAGGCATGCACTAGCCAGATTCCTACTCCACAGAGCCTCCTCTCTCGCTTCTTGGAATCAGTGCACAGCTGGATTTTACCCTGAGCAGAAGGGGCTCACTGATTACCAACTGGCCTCCATCCCCCAGCTTGTCAGCTGTTTTCTCAACCACCTATTTCCTTAAAGCATCCAAGGCCTGGAGGAGGGGTGAGCGAATGGCTCTGGAGTCTCATTGCTTGTGACATGAAACAGATCACCCTGTTTCAGAGACTCAAATGATTAGACACAGAAGCCACAGGATTCTGGTGCTTTATTTCCTGGATATGCATACCTAGCCTCAGTAAAAGGATCTCTGCTATGCACACTGATGTAACTCCTGGCTTTCTTTTAAAAAGACAACTTTTTTTGTCAGAATTCAAAACGGAGCTGGATAACTTTATGACTAAAAAAAGCATATTCACTACTTGATCCTTCAAGACACTTGAGTGCCCTCAGCAATTTGATGCCAACAAGAAATGTTAGTGCTCAGCACCTGATAAGCAGCACTCAGCCTTTTGCAGAATCAGGTCAAAACAGGTGGAAAACAGGTCTCATGATCTGAGTACCTGCTGTTGGAGTGAGGAAGGAAGGACCCTTATTATACTGGCAGGATGGACCAGATGCATTATGGATTTTTCCTTACTTTCCTTTGCATTATCTACAATGGCTGCTAGATGCTGACAAATTTGATGGATCATTGAAAGTGGGTTTGGCAAATAATATACAGTGTCACTCAGTATTTTATATTTGTCTGGTAGAGATCTCTTCTGAGTGGTTTATAGGCTTCTGAGAAGGAAGAGGAGCCCCTTTTATAGATAAAAACCCTGTAAATAAAACAACAATGGAGAATAATTTAGAATTTATTTTCAAAACATAAATCCTTTGCCAATCAATTGGCTTTTGGCAGTGCTGAGTCAGCTCCTGCTGAAATTAATGCATGTAAGGACAGAGTTTGGCCCTCACTGATGGAGTAAGATAAGCCCAATTAAGGCCCTGAAAAGGTTCACAGAGGTTCACAAAGATTTCAGTGAGCTTTGGATCATGTCCTAAGACCTCTGATTAGCTGTAGCAACACACTGGTGCTGCAGTTGCTGGGCCAGGATAGCTCTTGACACTATTAAATATTAAGAGTCCCAAAGGCAGAGTGGCAATTACTGACTGAATCAGACAAATTCAGACCAGAGGAAGGTTCATTGTCACTGGTTAGCAATTTAATTGGTCACTCCTCACCCTCTCTCTGTGGCTAGGCAACCAGTAAGGACTTTTCTTTAAATGGTTTGTGTGGGCAGGCTGAGTCCTCATGATGGTGGCTTCAGCACAACTCGCTTCTTAAGCTTTTGACCCCCAGGGTGGATGAGTGCACTGAAGTTGTGGCTAGCCAGTTTTCATGCCTGCACCAAAACTGCTTGCAAACACAGTGAGAGTGTCATGTGAGCAGTTCGGCTCAACTGGACAACACGAGGCCTTTGCTTCTGCACAGAGTTTAGGGTTGTGAGATAGATGCCATTTAAGATGGCAGTATTGCAAATTGAGGGTGACTGGCAAACGAAAAGACCAAAGGCGCTGTCCTCAGATTTAACTTCTTTATGGTGCAGAAAGGCCGGGAAGGATTCTTTTTTTAATATATAAATGTACAGGGTTTTTATTGCTTGTTTTAACATTATAAATCACATAAACATTTGACACTGTAAAGTCATATGTGTCCAATATAGAAGATGAGCGTTTTTTAAATATCAATGATATAAAGGAGACCTAATTAAGGAGAAGATGTGCAAAAAAACCCTCTCTCTGTAAAGGATTCAACACAATTCCCCATTTACTTAAGAGCCAGAAAAGTGCCCATCCATGGCTCCCAAAGAGGACCTTTGAGTCCTCCAACATAATTAATGAAGAAAAGATATTTCATAGATTTCATAGACATTAGGGCTGAAAGGGACC